GTATATATATATGTGGTGTTTGTGTGTGTGTGTGTGTGTGTGTATGTGTATGTATGAGTTATGTGATGTAGTATGGTGTATTATAGTTGGTGTATGTGTGTGTATGTATGTATGTGGTGTTGTGTAGTATGTGTATGTATGTGTGTATGTATGAATATATGTGTGTATGGTGTGGTATAATGTAGCGTAGTGTAGTAGTGTATGTGTGTGTATGTATGTTCCAGGAATGTGTCATAATGCTGCCATATAGCCTATTCATTTCGCGACATGCTTATCCAACGAGTAGTAGGTATTTATTACAGCTTTTGAAACGTCGTTATTTCCACATAAGAAAGTATCACTTTTCCCGCTTTCTCTCCCTCTTCCCTCCCCCGCTATCTTCCTCCTTCTTCACTTCCTCCTCCATTTCCCATTCCTACCCCCCCCCCTCCCCCCTCCTAGCTTTCTTTCTTTTATTTTGAATACTTAATCCTAAAATCATTTCATTTGACAAAATGATTTTCATTAAGAGAACGAAAACTGTAACTGATATATATGTCAAATAATTTCTCAAACTTCATCACTAATTAAAAATATATTGTTGCTCATTTTGGCGTTTGAAAAATTAAAATTAGTAATTACGAAAATATAAAATGGAAACAATGTGTTGGATGAAATTACTGTCTTTTGTTTGATGAACAATTATGCGTAAATTAATGTTTTAAGTGACGGATGATGTAACTTTTGAATTAATTAAATGATTGTTATTAAATTATCATTTTCATCACAAAAAAAAAAAATTCGAAAGATTTCGTTTACAAATACTGTCACTAATATTTATACAAAGTTAAAACCATAGGTTAATTATGAAGTACAAGAAAATATTTAATTAATGATGTATGTTTTTCTTTTCTTTTTTTCACTCCATAAAAAGGGCAAAATAATACTTCATTTTTTCTTTCCTTTTAATTTGTATAAAAATTTATATCAGTAAATCACAATGATATATAATGGATAGTAAAAATGGCCTGAACGAAATATTGGTAAACTATAATTAGTTTAGCTATAATGTGAGCCAAATAATACCCGATATTTTCCGATTGTTAAATAATAGCTCATCAATTTAAGACTAAATGAATATCATTTAGCATATTCTCTTAAATGCAAAGAAGCCGTGTCCGATCTGTAATTTATAACTTGCAACATGCATCATTATCATCACGATTATAATTGATTACTTTTTCGTACATTCTTTAAAATCATTTCATTTCCGCTTAATACATCACACTTCCCCGCCATCCAGCGTCTCTCGTTCGCCCACTCCCCCGCCATCTGTCGTTTCTGGCCTGCCGCTGGTTTTTTTTTCGTTAGTTGATTAGTTTTTCGTACATTCCTCAAAATCACTTCATTTCTTCTTAATGCATCATCCCCCCTCGCCTTTCTCCCCCGCACTCCCCCGCACACTCTCTTATCCTCTCATCCACCCCCGCCATCCATCGTCCTTGGCCTTCTTCATCATGTATCACTCACTGATTTTCGCTATCATCGCGATTACAATTTTTTTCGTCTTATCCATACATTCTTCGAAATCATTTCATTTTCACTCAATACATCACCACTTCTTCGACCCCGTCATTTACCCATCTATGCCTTATCAGATAAGATTGAAATTATAAGCTAATTGGATACAAAGATGGCGTAGATATATTTGTACTAATAATGCAAATAATGATGTTTCTTTTTTTTCTCTTCCATCCTTAAAAAGAAAAACCATAACTTATGAATTTTTTATGAAATTAATTTTTGATCAATTGAAAAATAATTTATGATTACAGTTATAGCTTAATAAATATAACATATGCTTTTATTTGCATTAATAGTACGAATGTTGCAATTTCATTCTTTTTATAGACATTATAAATTTTACATCAAATTTATTTTAAATTAATTAGAAATTAAATTACGACTATTACTATCAATAATAATAATAATAATAATAATAATAATAATAATAATAATAATAATAATAATAATAATAATAATAATAATAATTCATAGTAATCACTGCTTTAATGATAACACAGACTGATTTGTATTAATAATGCAAAATTATTCTACTATATTACTCGTTAATTTTTTAATCTTAACCAAATATTAAATGAAATTATTTTACTATAAATTCTAAACAATTCATTCTAAGACTTTTTTTTCGTCGAATTATACGCATATAATTTGAATATATTGCAACAATTTGTGTATGATTAAATAATGCTAATACGTTAACGTTGAAAATATATATATATGTCACAAACGTGGAACACGTATTAGAGTCACAATGTGGAACACGCATCACAGTTACAACGTTGAACACGTATCATAGCCACAACGTTGAACACGTATCATAGCCACAACGTTGAACACGTATCACAGTCACAGCATGGAACACGTATCATAGTCACAACGTTGAACACGTATCACAGTCACAGCATGGAACACGTATCATAGTCACAACGTTGAATAAGTATCGTGGTCACGACATGGAACACGTATCATAGTCATAATGTGGAGCACGTATCACAGTTACAACGTGAAACACGTACCATAGTCACAACATGGAACACGTATCGTAGTTACAACGTGGAACACGTATCATATATATATTTTTTAATTCTTTACTTAAAATCTAATTTTTCTTTCAAAAATTTTATCATTACAAAGAAATTATGTTGCAAATTTTTGAACAAATAAATATTGCAAAAAAAATTTTTATTTTTATCATAAAATATTTCACGGAAAATTTAATTTCAAATGAAATGCATTTTTGTTTTGTTTTTTTCTAATTTGCTGTCACTAAATGATTTTTAATGTTTGTTAATTTCCTTTATTTTTTTCAGATTCTTACGTCATCAGTGTAATATAAAATGATTTTAAAATGTTTTTATTCAAGCATGCTATGCTTCATTATAATATATATATATATAGTGCTACTACATAATGTACTAATTTTTTCCTTTATCACCTCTCTTTAATTTCATTTTTCTCTTCCTCTTCTCTCTCTCTCTCTCTCTTTGTTTTGTAATGGAACTTTTAATTTGTAATATTTGAATAAGTTAGAAAAAAAAAAAGTTTTAAGTTAATTATTGACAGATTTTATGTTTTATTTATCGAGATTAATGAGTTTTTCTTGCTTTGTTTTTGGTTTTAGAAAATATCAATCTTTTGTTTTTATTTTTTAATTTTTTTTAAAATGATTAGTGAAAAAATTTCACAATATAACAGTTTCCTTAGAAATAGACACTTATCAGTTATATTAACAAGTTAATGATAATTAGAATTTATAAAAAATATTACTGCATCAAATTTGTGATTACTTCTTGCTAGACTAACACTTAAGAATCTGTTGTATAATACTTTTACTGATACTATTAAAATAAAAAGTCTGTTCCAATGCAAAAATTAACTATGTATCATTTTTTGAATACAATAATTAAGTTAATTTATAGAATTACAAGGTGGCAAAATCTTTCTCTAATTTTGATAACTTTTGAAAAAGTTAGGACTATTATTTATGAACGCTTCAACTTACTGATTTAATGGATAGATATTAAAGAATGAAATTTGTACCGCTTAAATTTCTGTTAGGTTGAAGTTGAAAAAATTGATGGTATATTTTTCTGAAATTCTTTCATTTGGAGAAGTGGAGAATTAAGATGAAATTTAACCAAATTTGCCTCTATATAGATCCAATTGTATATGATTACATTTTATACTTACCTTTTACTACCTAAATTTATTACTGCAAGCACACATCTCAGTAGCATTTAACTAATTAAATTTAAACTAACATTTAACTAATTACTATTAGCTAATTAAATTTAAACATTTAATTAATCATTTAACTAACATCTAACTTTATTACTTTTCTGAGCTTTCTTAAATCTTTCCAACTGATATTTTTCGTCTTACATTAATCCCAGTCATTCTTACTCGAATACTTTCCTCACTTTCTTATCCTATCATGTAACAAAATAACTCGAAATTATTGAAACAAATAAGGAATACAAAAAAAAAACCGGATACCATCCATTAAGTTAGAAAACAAAAAAAGAACCGGATACTATCCATTAAGTTAGAAAGCAAAAAAAAAAAACCGGATACTATCCATAAGTTATCTTAATCTTTTAAAGTTTCCATCAATTATTTTGTCAATCAATAAATAACAGACTAGCATGTTCGTATTGACTTATAGAAAGTTAGCAATAAGAAGTTGGAAAAGGAAAAGGAAAAGGAAAGGGAAAAGGAGAAGAAGGAAAGAGGGATCTTACTAAATCAGGAAAATCTTGAAAACTGGCTAATTTTCAAATTGAAAAAGCAGTTTATGATTGAAGAGGAGAGGAAGGGATAGGAGGAAAAGAAGGAACAACTACTTGCTCTTTTAAGGATTTTCTCTTTTTTTGTTTTGTTTTGAACGGAAGAAGAGAAAGGAAGAGGTGAGAGTTGTGAGGAGGAATAGATAAGATGGAAATTTATATGCAAAAGGAATTGTTCGTAATCTGTACAATTAATTTTATTGTCAAAAAGTACGGGATAGAAAAGTAGAAGGTTGTAGGATGGATAGAAGCACTTTAAAGGGAAGACAAAATGGATGAAGGAAGAAGTTTTTGGAACAGCACATCAGCTAGCTAAATCAAGCATGTTGAGCCAGCTGATCATTCGGAACAAGTAAGCAAGTACTACTCTGGATAGCACCATTTTCCATTTTATCCATCCATATTCATTAAAAGCATAGGAATTAACTAGGAAATAGAAGCTAGGTGACAAATGATGAGCAGTAGTTGTTGTTACTGTTATTGAAGTAGTAATAATAATAGTAGTATGGTAGTAGTGGTATTAGTAATATAGTTGGAGCAGTAGTTGTCGTAGTTAAGAGTTGTGTATCAGGTGAGAGGGAAGAGGAAAGGGGGAGAGCAGGGGATAAGTGACGGGAAGAAGGGAAGGATAAAGAAGGATCGACCCGAAGAATGGGCAACGGGACGGACAAACGATACAAGGAAAATGCACACAAAACGTCCAAAAAGGCCATAATTGATTTTTCTAATCTGTTTAAGCTTAAAAGCTCTTATGACACTGCTCAAGCAAAATCTGCCTTAGTTTTGCTGTTCATGTCTCAATATCTCCTACCACTCTCTCTTACCGCCCAGTACCACCCACTCACCACCCCCTGATCCTCCTCCCCTTTTCCCTTTCTTTTGATCCATTCATTAATCCTGGAGAGTATTACGTTACTACTGCCAAATGGCTTGGCCATGAAGCAAAGTTCCTTTTCGTCATCTTTGTGTGGTATGTGCTATTTAAATTATTCTATAAGTTAATTATATAACACTTATATAACACACATATATAAATATATATATATAAATAAACACATTCATTCAAAGCAATGTTATTTATCGGAAGAGAAATTATTCTGTTTCAAAATTCAGTCGTTTAAACTTCCCTTAAATCTGTGATTTTCCATTAGATAAGAATCCTCTGTTCATCTAAAGTGACCAATGTGAAATGGACAAGGGATCAATAATAGCACCGTTATAACCTGCTCTTGCTTATTCATATGTAGAGCGCTCCATACCTAACTTAGTACGTTAATATATCAGTCGAAGTGATAATAGTTGATTCGATCGGTCACAATGTGACGATGACTGACTATTAGCTGGTGATTATTGGCTTCCCGATAGATATAACAGCCATTAAGGCACAAATGAAGCATTCAGCTTTTTCAAATATACGATTTGTCAATAGCGGGGAAAGAATAAAAGATACTTTACCGGAAAATATTTTAGGCAACGAAGATTTTTCCGCTTCTTCCCCTTCTCTTCTTCCTCCCACCAAAGCGTCTGTTATGCTTCCTTTATAAATGATATCCATGGCGAGGCTCTTTTATCGATATTTAGGCGGCTAGTTTAATGGATTCTTGCACTGTTAAATGAATTTCTCTTTTCCCTCCCCCACCTTCCTTTCCTACCCAAAGCTGTTGCGGAATCATCGAGAATTAATGAAATCGTTTCTGAGAGATGATTTTTAAGAGGTTAATGCTATCATCGTTTAACCGGACATTTAAAAGACGAGAGAATCATTGTAAGGTCAAGCTTGTAAATGATAAGGATAATGAGAGAGATAGATTAAGAATAAGATGAGGGAGGAAGAGTGGATGATAGTGGATGATAGAGATAAAACGAATCAAATCACACAATGAATTTACACAGTCGAATTTTCTTTTTCGAATATAATGCGATTCGCTGAGGATATTAGTTTCCTTGATGTAATTGGATTTTTGTTAATATTTATAGAGTGATAGTATTTTTACGGTAGCTAAAGTCGAAGAAAAGAAAAAAGGAATTAAGTGCATTGGTTCAACGAACTTAGAACAATTCCATACTACGAGAGATGGATGCAGTGCACTGTTCACCAATTCCGGAAGTTATCGTTCGTTAGAAGGCTAGTTAAATTTCAGTTTTCCTTTTTTGTCTTTGCTTAAAAGTGTCACAATTGTATGTATATGTGTGATTTTTTTTTTCAAATTCACATTATTTATTTTAATTAAAATGAATTTTGAAAAAATTCCCATATTACTGCTTAATTTCTTTAAAGGGTTTTATAGTAAAGCGGCCGATACCGTCTTCAGTGGTTTGCTGAAGGACGAGTGCCGTAATGGATCGCTTAAGTAAGATTTTTTTTCCTCCTATATTAAGCATTTCGAATTATATTAATGTGAGATTATCCCCCTGATACAGTACAATATACATCTTCTAATAATTTTCAAATTTTTAATTAGTCTTCCAAAACAATTTCATTGTATCAACAATCAAGCCATTCCATTATAATATATTCGTTGATTAGATGGTCGGTTTATTTTTTTGAATACATATTTAGAAAAAAATAATATTCAAAAAAATAAAATTTGAATAGCATTTGAAAAAATAACAGTTTTTCTGAATCCATTTATACTCCCTGATCAAATAATCGACTTATCTGCACTCACTATAAAATCATAAGTTAAAAAAAAAAGAGATGGGATGATATTTCAGAAATGTTTTTCGTTCATCAGATACAAATTACTCTTCGTGCTCTGAATGTTGTAAAGTAATTCAATCTTCTTCATCAGAAACAAAACATCACGCAGTTATTTCCGGTAAGATTCTCTCGTTTATTTTTTATTGATAAATTTGTATTTGGTATTTATTAATATCTGAAATGTTTTCCTTCCAATCGTACTTACACTTGTTTATTAACATTCAGGAAAAGATTACCCACATAAGAAAATGATCCGCAAAGAGCAAATGAAATATTTGATTTTTAGAATAACTAAAATTGATGGAATTCTTGACCCGAAGGGAAAGGGGCATATTATGGAATAAAACTAAGAAATAGTTCTACGAAATTTTTTTTCTTCGATCAAAACAAAATTTAAAGCGATAAAGACGGAAGAACAAATTAACGAGGTAGTTGAATCCATGGTAATGGCGAATGGTAGTGGTAAAACGCGTAGCAGTAGTAATCAAACAGCTGATAGAACCTGCACTGATGTGGAGAGGATATTGCACAACGAATCATACAGAAAACCATTTCAGGTTACTATCATAAATTTCTATATTCTGTAATAAAACAGCTGTGCTTTAGTTGTTAATTTCTGAATCAATTTAAACCAATTAAATTCTTTAACTTTTTTCCTTTCTTTGCAGCAATTTCTTGAGCAACAATTTTGTGCTGAAAATATTAATTTTTATATGGCCGTAGAAGATTATCGTTTGATACCTGATTCAGATGTATGTTTGCATTCTTTTTAAGTCATTTAAATTGAATTTTCGCTAAAATAAATTTTTTTTTCCTTATAAATCTTAACTTATTCATTTTTATCAATATTAATTAGCTAATATTTTATCTTTTCGGCAATTTTTTAGTAACAATTTATTGCAAAACAAATAAAAAAGTTTTTTGTCTTTTTTGGTAACCGTAATGGCAGTAGTAAACAAGTTCGAAACCTTTAAAAGCTAATGCTGAAGGCTGTAAAATTAACAAATAAAAATCAATCTTATGTTCATTTATCTTTTTCACCTTTTCTTTTTTAGTTAGGAAAAAGAGCAGAAGTTGCCCGTCAGATTTTTGAACGATATTTCGCACCAAATGGCGTAGAACCAGTGAATATTGATAACAGTACAAGTAAAAGCATCAGAGATGCTGTTATATCAGGAGATTTTACACCTCATCTGTATGATGTAGCGCAGTATCAGGTTAACTTACAACTTCTTGTTTTTATTATCTATTATTTCCTTTTATTGACAATCTAAAGTTTATCATTTCGACGGAATTCTGGTTAAGAACTGTTAGTATTGGATTTGATTTTTTATCCTTGTTGGAAGATTATGGGCGGTTGTTTCAGGATACCTCCATTTAAAAAAAAGGAAAAAATTTTCACATTATTCGAAGTTGTACATGTTGCATATCGAAAATTATGAAGTTAAGGAATAGTTCAAATAATAAATCACTTACTCAGTGAGATGGATTAAACAGAAATTTTAACAGTAAGGCGCATGAAATTTTATTTACTTATTTGCCCGGTTTTGTTTATTGTTTCCAATGCTATTTGATTTTGATCCGATAAATATTTCAGATATTTCATTTATTGAAATATGATTGTTGGCCACGTTATCTGCGTGCTGGTGGCATAGCCCCAACATTCGATGATGGCCCCGATGAAACATCCGAAACTCCAACGACAAGTGAATCAACTTACCGGGTAAGTTTGTATTTTTATTCAAGTCAATCTCGAAAAAAACTATAATTGCTTATATGTTCTATCTCTCCGCGCTCTCTCCTCAAATTTGTTGTTCTTATTCACTCAAGTGGAGGATGTGAAAAAAGCTTTGAAGAAATGCTTGTAAAATTTCACAGCGAAATAACGAATATTTAATGAACGAAACAGAAAAACCTAACATTTAATAGTTTTGTTATAACAGTTTGAAAGGAATTGTTGCATGAATTAACTTACCTGCTCTCTCTCCTCTACTTCTCTCTTTCTCCTTACCTCTCTTTCTGTCTATCTTTTTCTCTTTATCTGTGTTTCACTTTTTTTAAATTTAACAAAATTTGGCATGCTTTTGGAACTATGTCCTAATCCTTTCTAAATGTCGTGAGGAAAATAGTTTCATCCCATTTTAAGTAGATTGTGAAAATGAAATTTAAAAAGAATGGAATATTTTGATAGGTACAACTAATAAAGAATGCAGACTTCTGGTTTTCTTGAGTTTTATAAAATAATTTTCTTTCACAAAATTTAACTAAGCTATCTCATCTCATTGCGGAAAGTTATTCGGCTGCTTCGGACAAATTGATCTTAAATTTCATTTTCACAATCAATTTAAGAAAATATTTGCTGTTGAAAGCTAAATAATGTATCACTGGTCAATTAGCGGGAAAAATTAATGGGACAATTTGGTAGTTGGTATGATGAACGCTTCGGAAAGATAGCAATCAGCCGTATCCGGCGTGCAGTCGCGTCAGCAGTCAGAGACGTGTTGCACTGATTATCCGGTTAATCGTAATCAGGATGAAAAAAGTGAAATTTTTCATTCCCATATATGAAATCAAATTAGTCAATTAAGCGTCAACTAACTATATATGAAGCGGATGATTTAGTTTGTTTTGTTTGTACAGTTTGTTTGTTTTTCGTTTCCAGAAATGTCGCGGAGATAAGAAGCGTAAGTCGTTAATCTGGCATGGCCTGAAGCCCAGATTTTCACGATGGAAAAAAGCCTGGTCAGATGGCAGCGATTCACTGGAACAAAACTTCGATCATGGTGGTTCACTCATGCATGAGACTGCTGAGCAATACACATCACCTCAATTTTCCAGATCTCAGCCCAGTTCACGACGGTCTTTAACACAGGAGCAACTGGGATCATCGGATTACGTGGGAAATATCCGGGATCCATTCTTTGTTAGATCTGACACCGAACTGAGAGTTGGAATGTTAAGTAAACACGGTTCGTTGCGACGTCGCGGTTTTACAGTCGCCGGAAAACGTTTCTTGCACACAGAGGTGTCTCTTTTTCAATTTTTTATACTCCGTGTTTCTTAAAACATTTTTCTAAAATTTTTGCAAATGCTTTATCAATAACTTTTGTAAATGGAAAGCATCTATTTCCATTTACAAAAGTTCTTAACCCAACTATTTGCTTTTATCCAAACTGAAAGTTGCGGAAACTTCCAAAATATCCCGATGGTTTTTGAGAATCTTTGGATTATCATCGAGGTTGCTTGTGAGGCGTAGTGTTTTGTATTTCTTTCCGTAATTTACTTTCCGTGTGGATTGTCTGTTTGCATGTTTGTCATGTTCGATAATTAAATTGCAGTTATTCCTAATCCGTTGCGTCTGGTTACAATTTCGAATGTAGTAGGATACTATATCATGCTAACCTATACGCTATTATTCCAGATCAATATACTGTACCTATTTAATAGTTGAAAGGTCATGTTTTAGGTATCGCTCACTAATAAAGATGCTAATAATTTTTTTCTTGTTTTGCTCGAGCATAATAGGAAAACACAAACCAGTATTATATTGCTAATCTGAAGCTTTTGATGGGATCTATCAAATACCCATACTTGTAATAAAAATTTCAACATTTGACTGGACTAGACCTCTTCTAAATAGCCTAGTTTCTCTCTTATTATATATTTCTTTAATTTCACGTAGTTTCTCTACTTCGAATAATATCACCTCATTCCATTCCTCCATTATCGTGATCAGTGTCTCAATCATCTTTAATCTTTATTTACTTAAAAAAAAGAACATATATATATGAATTTACCTCATAATCATTAATTATTTACTAGCAATAAATATATATTATAAATCAATTAGATATATCTTTTATTGATTCCCCTTTAAGTGTTATAAACAACATTTCATAAAGCGATTTTGGCACTAATGAATTTAATTTTTAGACAGTCCCGTCTGGTGCTCCACCATCAAGTACTTCTAGCTCAAGAGTTACTCAAGTGTCCACTAAGTTTTGCACATTAATGCTTAATGATGCACCTTGTGTGGAGCAAATTGCTCTTCATGATCCGGTTTGTTTTTTTTTGCTTTTTTTAACATTAAATTATTCAAGAAAATTTTACTTATTCCAATGAAATTGATCATAAAATGACAAAGAATGAGAAGTATCTTATTTTCAGGAAACTACGATATTCTTTTGTTTTGTATGACTGATGTTAATTGATTTCTCAAATTTCTTTCTTTGTAAATAACATTTCAGACGGAGTCGGTGGGCAAGTGGACAGCAGTAGTTGCAGCTCAACATGGTATGGATCCGCGTGGAACAGAAGTTGTTGATGCACAGGTCAGTTTTTAGAAAAATTTACTTTCGAGACGGAATTTTGATGCGAAAACTCTCTTACATATTTTTAACACAAGAAATTTGACGTCAGAGCTTTTTTTCCTTTTTTTATTTCCGAGAACATTCTTAACATTATACATCGACTTAAAATTTTGTTTTCTTCGAAGCACGTGGAATCATGCTGTTTCATACAATAAACATTAATTATTTGACATGTCTTCTAAAAGTTTCCAAATCTGTAATGAGATTTTAGTTTGAGCACAAAAAAGAAATGGGACATGGTTCTTTGAAAAAGTTCAATTCCTCACAACAAAATTTTTTTGATTTCTATGCAAATTTTTAGTCGGGCGCAACGATTGACCCAGCTCGACAAGCCATCGATGCATTAAATAATCGATGTGTACGTTTGTTACCTGTGCTACTTTTTGCCGCCGAAATAATGATGCCAAATGCTTCAAATAAAACGGGTACATCCACAAATTCAAGGTTAATATGATTTTTACGGTTCTCTTAAAATTTCGACCTGTTAAAATTTAGTGATCATAATAATTTAGTTGTTCAATGATACAGCAGTGATTTGTGGCTGTTGTGTAATTGTATCGTTTACTAAACATGTTCTGAATCATTACTGATAGATGTGCAATCTGTGATTACTGGTTAGATTATTACTACTGCTTCAGATTGCTTTCCTTAATCGACTTACATGAGAAAACTGTGTTTTTTAGGGTAATTCATAGTTTCTGAATCTTATTTCTATTGTAATATTATCCAACCAGAACTATAATTAGTCAATCGTATCCCATCATAAGATGATATTTAGATTCCTGAATATTATTAATAAATCAGTAGAATATTTAAATTTTACCTTTACTTTTGAGGGGTTTTAAATCAAAAATTATGGAGTGACTTCGATACTTGCGACTTTCATTCAATTATCTAGCGTAATATTCTAACGTAATTTCACGTTATTTCTCAATTTTTGATTGTTCATTTTAGAATTGTACTATTGCGGGCCCGACATGGCCTTTCATTGAATGCTGTGTTAAGGCCGGTTTTGGCCAAGTATTTAATTGATTATGATTCATGCGTTGTCGTTCTTCCAAGCTCCTTCGATGCTGTTAGCTGGCAGACAACTGTTGGTACAATAAAGCAACGATTTGTCTTAGTGATGACTCAGCAAAAATATCAAGGTTATTTTTCAGAAGTATATTTTCCTGGGATAAATTTCAAACTTCTTTACTTGTATGAAAGTTATTCTAATAATTCCATATAATCGTTGGTTGTTTCTTTTTTCGCAGAAAGAAGGCATTCACCGAAACGTGAAATTGCTAAAGAATTTCATTCAACACACTTTTCAACGCCAGCAGTGAATTTGCCTTTCTACCAGCATGGTGATGTTGCGTTTGTTGAACTACCTGCTGATTTCGATTTACGTACGGGCAAAATGAATGCAACACATTCCTACTCCAATGCTAAGGTTACTTTTTTTTACTTTAAAATTTCATTAAATGAAGTATTTAGGAGTGTTTAATATTAAATGAAGTATTTAAGAGTGTTTAATCACATGATATGACAGTGATTGCAGTGGAGCATGAAACTGGTATTGTGTTCCAAAAAAGCATGGTAGTATAATTGCTGGATAAACCGAAAAAAAAAAAATGAATACATAAAGTAAATAGAAATGTGCGTCTGTTTCAGACTGATCACACGTCTGGTTTGTTGAAATTTGTTCGGAAAGCAAGTCAAGCAGTAACAAATCGTGAATTACCATCATTCGATACTACCCCCTCGTCATCGTCGCATCAGCAGCATGCGACATCACAGCAACAGCGACAGCATTCTGGACGTCACAATCATTCTCAGTTAGCGCCTTCCAGTTTTAGTGATGAAATAAGGTTCGTAAATTACTGTCGGTTCTTTTGATTTATTTGTTTCATGTATATATTTTAGGCAGAAACATCAATCGACCGTAACTTACTGTTGATTGAAATAGATAATATATGCTTATTTTGTCTTTCATCGTTTTCTTTCTCTCTCATACCTGTTTTAATAGCCGTCTAAATACATTTTATAATCAAGAATTATTTTTGCTGCAGAACACTAGAATGAAACTCCTCCTGATTTGTTCAACTCCTTTACTTGAAATAGGTTATGGCATATTCAGGAAAATAATGTACGGTATCTTCGATCTCTAAAACTTTTCAATTTTACTCGTAATTTTTTGGGTTAAGACGCTATGATGTATATGAACAATACATATCTTGCACTTTGTAGGCAAAAATCGTCAGAAATATTTCAATGGACGTCGAGTACCGCTATGGCCGATATTCCATATTGTGGTGAAGATACTGTGGCTGAAAATCTTAGGTTACCTGAAACTATGAGAAGTACTGGTTCGAGAAAACAAAGTAGACGAGTGCATACTGGTGGTAGAGAGAGGATGTTTGAAATTCCGGAATTTTTGAGGAAGGTATGCTTCTAGAGTATGTTGTATTATATTATAGCTCTACTAATTTGAATTTTCAAATATCCACTTTTAAACTTATCGATCTGCAAATATTCTGTATAATCTCCGAACCATTTGGTTTATTCAATAAAGAAGCATCCAAAAAGTGGATCAATCTATTGGTTGTTTTCTTTAATGGTTTTAGGAAATTACTCCGGGAATGCGTGATACGGATAAGAACCTGACGTTGGTCGATTCGAATGCACCCAAAATTCCTTCACTGTATACATCGACAGTTTCCAGTGATAAAGTATGACTTTTTTTGAAATCCTTCTAATCAAGAATCCTTTTTTTCTCTTTCTTGCACACCTTTTATTTCTTCGTCTTCTAAATGAATCATTTTGCCAACTTATAAAATTACTTTCACATCGATGAAAGAGACAAAGGAATAGGATTCCAAGAAATTGTTATTCATTAAAATTTAGAAGTAAAGGTTCGGCCGAAAGTTAGTACCTGTAATTAACATGTTTTAATTAAAGAATTTGGATTATTTGACGTTTAGGACTTTTCGCCAGATGATTGTAAGGGAAGTTTGGGATGGCAGCGTGCCGATTATGTATAGTGTACTGTTAGGATATTCAATTCATACAAAGGTATATATCTTTTTTAAAGCTTTATAAATTCAACTTTTAGCAGTGTTGTATTTTTATTCGAACAATTACTGGATAACAATGGGTAACAGTAAATCTAACTGTTAGATGAAACTCCGTTGCGTTATCTTTTTAGATTCTGAATTAAGTGACCTTGTAATAATTTGGTGTTCCTTGACCGTGAAAGCATTAATAGGATTTGTCTACTAAGACTGAAAGTGGTTAAAGAGAATGACAGTTCCTAAAGTAGAACCCAAATGATTGGAGTAAAAAGCGCAGATAATATTAAGATTTTGATGGAGTGAACATTTCCTTTTTGCCGTAACCAAATTATTTATGCAGTTTTGTGGATTTCTTTGACAAAATGCAAATGTATTTACAAGAAAAAGGATTAACTTGACAGTAGCAGTACTTACAAATTATCCAGAGCTATTATTTCGCTTTTAAAATTATAACTTTGATTAATGAAATTAGAATTTCTTATTTTGAAATTATAGGAAAATCGCAGACAATATGGCATATGTGGTGTACATGCTCATCGTTTTAGTAATACTTTTCGACAAAAAAAAAGTCGAACTGCAAGTTACTTCTCCTCTTGTCCAAATTGTATTTACTTTTTTCCTCCTCTTATTGAAATTCACATTCTTCATGAAATGCGTTTTTGTTTTTGTTTTTTTCTTTGTTTCAAAGATACCGAATAGCAGTGAGGAATATGAAATTTGTGAATTTCGTTTCATATTTGCATTTTTTCTTTTACTGTTCCAAATGAATGTGTGCATATCAGGTTATTACCGGCATATTTTAGCAAGCAAAATGGACAAAGAAGTGAAAATTTTATTACTAGATTTGAAATACTGAAGTATCCTGATGATAATTGCATTGTTAATAATGGCATACAATCTGCATTTACGCATGAAGAGCGATTCCATACGTCGATAATATGTATCCATATTACGGTGATATCGTTGCTGACAAACTATTTATTTGAATCCATAAAAAATGGATTCCATCGGATGCATGAATTACGTCGATTTCCAACATGAAAAATGGTTTCAACTTATTCAGTATGTCATCATCAATAATGCACATCCCATGGAATATTTCTAATTTTAAATTAATGATCAAAAGCCAATAAGTTTATTCCTGCTCATTTGGCTTATATTGGCAATATGTAGTATACATTATTTTGGAACAAATTCTTGAGAAATTTCTCGGGTAAAAAATTTTTTTTCTCAACCTAAATTTCTCATTCTTTACCTTTAGTTTTTCTTTTTGTTGGAGGTATTAAATTTTATAAACAATTGTTGCTGTAAAATTAAGCTGATGGAAATGGAAAATTATATTTTTCTTTCTTTGTTAATTAAAGTTTTATCTATTAGAGGAAAATTTGTTTACTTCTTTCTCAATTTATCTCAATTATTTCATTTCAGTTTGGCCTTTGTCTTTTTTTACAATTGTTTAAAATGTTTGTTCATTCTACATGCACAAAAATGAATTGCCATAGCGGGTGATTAACCCGAGATATTCATGTATAATGATCTTGTCATTTTACAATAATGCTTTACTTATTATATCATTTGTAGAGGAAGAAAAAAAAAACGAAGAGATCCGAATTTCGAAGTTTTTTATTTTTTTTTAAATTTTTTTGCTAAATTTGCTTATTTGTTTGTTTGTTTGTTTTATTCCATTTCGTCGTATTGAAGCTGATAATATGTATGTGCATGAAAGTTGATTTAAAATTTGCTGATTACAAGTAAAGGAGTTGAAGAAGAAAAGCAAACGTGCGAATAAAATGCAACATCTTGATTAAAATAAAGTGAAAATTCTTAAAAACAACTTAACGAATTTGCTAATTATTAGCTGATACAACAATCTTCATTAGTGAAATTGACATATGCAAAAATGGGATCGTTCTTTTTTGTTTTAAAGAAATCGAACAATTTCATTTTTGATGACATCTTTTTGTTGTTATGTTTTAATGTATCCGTTGGGTGTCGTTAAAAAACGAAAAAAAAAGGAAAGAAGAGGAATATACTGCGGATTGCTTGAAACAAATGGTGGCAATGAAATATGAGTTGTGGGTCATAAAAATGTTGAAATTTTTCGAGCATCATTGGTTGGCAAAGCCTTCGTGAACAGCTTGCATTATTGCATTGCAAAAATATATTATTCGTTTGGGAGAAGTTTTATTTTAACTTCCAAAATTTCTGCAACAATTACTATTATTATTATTATTAGCCATATATTTATTGTTTATGGTAAGAATGTTACGTTTCTTTTTTTTGCAATATATATACTCCCCCGTTTTCTTCTTTTGATAAGAAATTTGAAATGATTAATTTAAAAGAATAGTAAATTTTTATTTTGTTGTTGAAAAATTTCGACATTTTGTCGTAATCTTATTTCTCTTCATGTAAATTATATCCATTAGATGTTGTGAAAGCAACAAAAAGAACAAAAAAAATTTCATGGAAACATAATTTTCGATACTTTTCATTTTTTAATTTTTAAGTAAAATATTTCGATTAATTGTTAATTAGTTATATATTGTTTAAATTTTTGATAAAATATAATTATCGATTTTAGCATAATCTTTAGCAAATGCAATTTTAACGATACAATAAGTATTCAGCAGAATTGATAATAATGGATGAAGGCTTTTTGCTTTCTGAACTGATAATAATAGATGAAGGCTTTTTGTTTTAAGTGTTAGCTAAAAGCTTAGATATTATGCAATGTAAGAAAAGAGGAAAAAAGTTATTGAATTTTAAAGTATAACGAAGTGATAAGAAGTTACATTGCGAAATGATAACGTAATTTATTTGATTACTTTACTAGTTAGTTATACTTATTGATTTTAGTTTGAATCATTCATTTTGCAAACAAAATCAACAAAACTTCCTCTATATATTTGTTAAGGATGATGATTATCAGTAAGATAGGAATAATTATTCTTTAGAATTTATAGCATTTTTTTTACCGATAAGGGATAATATATGATGCTGTTGATAAAAATGGGAACTATCAGTAGAATTTGATTATGCTTATCATTTCAATGCATAATTCATTATCAAATTGAATATGAAAAATTTTTCCCATTCATAATTTTAACTTTCATTTGTTTAAACTATGGTGAAATTTTCCTATTCTTTTTCTCTCTTTCTGTTTACTCCAAGATTTTTATCATACATTCCCTTTTTTTCCTCCCATATCGATCAATGAAAGTATCATATGATTTACTAATTCAACGGAAGTTGCTTGATTACACTCAGTCACTTTCTGTATGATTTATATAAACGTGAAATTAAGGATATTTTTGTTTGATTTTATTACAATTTTAAATAAACAATTGTTAATTAAGAGAAGTTTTTATTTTAATTCTTTTCAATTAATTGTTAAGTTTAATACCAAAATTGAAGGAAATGAAAAAAAAAAAGTTTAATTTGAATTATTAATTATTATCAAAATTTTAAGATGAAAAAAAGTTTAATTTAAGTTATTAATTATTATCAAAACTAATCCAAAAATTTCTACAACATAACCATTGATTTTATTTCATTCATTAGTTTAACCTTTTAACCAATAATATATCATCAATCATATTGTATCATATATATCTATCGAAAATCAAAAAAGAAATGAAATGGATTTAATGAAATGGATTGCGCTTTGACAGTCATAACATACATTTATCATTCAATCACAAAAATGTTTTATTCCATTCCTTTTATTTTGATTAGCATACGTATCCAATGTTTTATCTCTATTGTTAATTTTTCATTTTCGATATTACGGTTGCAATAATTTTTCCTATCTCATCCGTTAATTCTTACCTTTCAGGATGATATTATTCCTGAAAATTTCAAATAAGCTTTTAAAAAAAAAAATTATTAATTGTTGCTTACTGAACAGGTATAATCAAATAATTCAAATTATTAATTGCCTAAATAGAAGAATAATTTATAGGGAGAGAGAGAGAGAGAGAGAGAGAGAAAGAGAAAAGAAAACATTTCTATTTGCAGTTGTGATTCATTTTTGGTAGGACGAAATATAGCTTCGTGTCAACAACAAATGAAATATTGTGATTCTGGTGCTATTATCATCGAATTGTTAAACAATTTTTAACTTGGGAAAATTAGCAAAATCCTGCTTATTCAAAAACAAAATTTTAAACGTTTTTAATGCAAAAAATCTTTGTCAAATTTGATATACTTCATAAAATTTGTTTGCTATTATTTTTAGAAAATTTATTCCTTCCGAGGAATTATAAGTATATATGTATCATAAGGCATTATAAATATATTAT